CTTCAAGGAGGCTGGCCACATGGCTCCAACGCTGGACTGGTTGAACTCACGGGCCGAACAACAGGCGCTTGAGGGAGGCCGGCCACACGACTTCGACGATGTTCTAGTTGAAGGATCGTCCAAACCATAGCTGCTGCAGAGAGGCGGGCCACACGACTCCAACGATGGGCTGGTTGAACTCATGGCCAAACGTAGGCACTTCAGGAAGGCCGGCCACACGACTTCGACCATGGCCTGGTTGAACGATCGTCCAAACCAAAGCTGCTGCAGAGAGGAGGGCCACACGACCTCGGCGATGGGCTGGTCGAAGTCCCTTAACAACCATCCCTGTTGCAGGGAGGCAGGCCATGCAATGTTCGCGGGTATGTTAGGTGTGAACACAAGTCGCTTGAGGTCTCGAGGCCAAACCACCAACTCCTGGCTTGCTGCTGACGAGTCTATTTTCCCGACGACGTTCGGACCCGGACTGCAGCTCTATTGCAGCTGTCCGCGGCAGAATATCTGTCGGAAGCGCCCACGTGAAACCAAAAGCCTTCTACCGGCACGTTATTCCAGGTGGACACCGCTCCACTGCGGTTGTTGGGTGCGGTGTGTGATGTGGAAGGATACCAAACGCTGCGAGGCAATTCTCGGTCGACACGCACGTGCAAGGTCGGGACACTGTTGCACGCCCCACAAAAATCCAGCGACACAAGCTGTAGCTCCAGTGTAGACGCATACCAGCGCTTATCGTGTTCGTCACAAACCTCGTTCAATGCGACGATGAAGACGTGTAGGTAGTAGACTCTTCCTGGGACAGAAGATGGAGGATCTACGCGTACAATGCAAACGAAACGTGGCGTGAGCCTAAGGGGCAGGGTCTTGCTGCGTGATTGAGTCAGTGATATCGGGGACAGGGGCGTCAGGGAGGAAGGATGTCCTCCGAGAAAAAAGAAGGGCAACAAAAGCCTTGACTACCATACACAGCGGTGTCCTGAAAATCTGTCAACTCTGTTTTGTCTGTGCCTGTTGGACACCCCTCTTTCCGAATATTACGTGGGGGGGGGGGGGGGGGGG